TGGATTTGTCATATTTAATCTTCTGTAGACTTTTCACTTTTCCGGCTTCCTCAAGGGAGTTCTTGAAGAAAATGATACTATCATTAGTATATAGTAAATGCATGATCTATTGACCTCTGCAACTGGCTTTAACTCATTTGATCAATTTTTTGGTGAACATCGTTAAGTAATGCTGATAATCTATGCGCTCATAAAAGAAAGAGATTTGGGCAGAGGGGGTCACCTTGTTTGAGCCCCCTCTTTGGGTAAAGAACTCTGAAAGCTGTCCATTTGTTCTAATTCGAAAGGTGACAGAGCAAATATATTTCTTAATCAATGAAATGAAGGGGTTAGAGAAGTCCATTTTCTCCATGATGCCAAGAAAAAAGTTCCATTCTACTTGTCATAAGCTTTTTCCATATCTAATTTGAGCGCAACCCCTTTGTTGGGGCCATTTTTAGAGCTTTTAAGATAATGCACAATCTCATGAGCAATAAGAAAATTATCTGAGATACGTCTACCCAGGACAAAAGCACATTGGTTAGCCACAATACAATGAGGAATGACTGGTTTAAGACAATTAACTATAACTTTAGACACAAACTTATAGTCCACTGTACATAGACTAATATGTCTGAAAGTTCTCATAGTTTTTGGGTTATCAATTTTTATAATGAGAACCATGACAATATGTTTAACATTCTTAAAATTAGCAAGATTATTTAAAAGATCAAGGCATAATTAGGTAAGTCCAGAACCAATAATATCCCAAAAAACTGATAAAATGAACAAAAAAAGATCAATACATAAGGCTTTTTGAGATGGATTTACGAAAAGGTGAGAAGAACTTACTCTTTTGCAAATGGTCGAAAGAGCATTAAATTATCTTTTGGTAAGACACATCTCTTGATTGCATTCAGGATTGCATAGGAAGACTCCACTTTGGATGACTAAAAGAGATAGGTAAAATACCCAATAATGATGTTGGAGACCCCTGCCTGATCTTGAACTCACCGTCCTATCGAGTCCTCTATGCCTTCAATCCTACTCTTTTTTAGTCTGCCATTGGGACTAGCATGAAAAAAGGAAGTATTCATGTCTCCCTCCTTGATCCAGGCCACTCTTAATCGTTACATCCAATATGTTTCATCTTTGTTAATTAGGTCCTTTAACTTGTTCTTAGCATTCCAGAGTATTTTAATATAGTCATCCATAATCGACTTCTTTTAAATGGCCTCTATAAGAGCTCGAAGCTTCTTTTCTTTTTGTTTTGCCTTCCATCTACAATTCTTCTACCAAACCCATAGTAGGTGCCCCAAAACTTTCATCTTCTTAAAAATTGACCCTGAAGTCATGTTCCATGACTCCCAACAACCTTTTTGTAATCATCTTATTTAGTCCAACAAGGTTCAAACTTGAAGTAGTCTTCCTGCATACATCTCGGGTATGGGGAGGATTGAATGACCAAATACAACACTATACCCACACGATCAGAGTGACATAAAGCCTCAGTCATTACTCTGTGATCCTTGAAAGTCATTAACCATCTTTTATTTATAAGGAATCTATCGATTCTCTCCCTTATATGATATTACCCTGATTTATTGGAAGCCCAAGTGTACCATCCTATTTTAGGCTTAATGTCCCAGAGTCCTACTTTCTGTAGAGAGGTTCTGAATACATCCATGGCAACTTATGAATGCTTACGACCTCCTAATTTTTCATTCGGTTGTAGAATTTCATTAAAATCCACTCCTATCACCTAAGGGAGTTGGGATAATCCTGCAAGATGACTAATGAGGTCCCAATCTCCTTTTTTTATTTCAGACAACTCCTATATAAACCTGTGAAAAAAAACATTAAGAGTCCCAAACCACCTCAATATCCACATGCCATTCGAGTAGCCAATAAAGAGACTTTTATATAGTCTTTCAAAAATAAGATTAGGCCATTACAAGAGTATGAACTTCTACTACAAAAAACCTTGCATACATAATATAGTCTTAGCATGCTCCGCTTTGTATTGCGAAGTTGTGATTCCGAGAGAAAAATAAGAAATGGTCCTTAGAAGAGACAAGACTCTTTATTCATAAATTGTCACGAGTTCCTAAGCTCACGAAAGCTCCAACAATGATACTTATGGCAGTCGACGGGGTTACTCCTCAGCCTCTACCACTGGAATCAGGTTATCTCCCCTCTCGCTAGGGGCTTCAGAAGGATCTTCTTCCTCTTCCTTGTAGTTTCCCTCTATAATCATGGTGGCAGCAGTCTCCACCTTCTTGGGTGATATCTTGTATTTTTTCCTCCATCTTGCTTGTCGCTAATCTTCCTTTGACTGTTGTTTGATAACACCAAATCCCACGTCCTTCGATTTGGTTGATGATCTGTATGCTTTTCCCTCTTCGGCTTGGATAGAAACCTGTTTATGAATGTCATTCTCTCTTCCAAAGCATATTTTTCATTATCACATCATTTTTTGCCACATGTATGTGGAGTCGCTCGTTCTTCTCTTAATTTTAAAATCAAGTTGTCGCGAGTCGTTAGAGTTCCTCATACAGTACAACTTTGTTCATCAAGGATAGTACCATTAGTTGTTCAAGGTAAACGAGCTTCTTCTTAGATGAGCTTCCACTTGCTATGGTTTCCCCTTTAAAACACATAACCAATCACCATACTACAAGTTCTCATGGTGGTTGGCCGTGTAAACAGGACATTCAATTATCTGGTGACCTATCAAACCGTAGCAATGACAAAAATTTGGGAGCCTTTCATACTTAAGCAGACAGCGTCATGGTTGGCCATCCGAGCGGATGCCTAGATTCAGACATCTCCTCATAGGGCGGTTGATGTCGATCCCAACTCGAATTCAAAGTTATTCTCCCATCCGGCCCTAACTATCACGTAAGTCCAATGCTATCACAGTTCCAAGTGTATTACCGATTTTGAAGCCGCTAGTTTAATTCATAAGACCCAATGGGAGTTCATGAACACGTATCCAAATGGGCAACATCGAGAAGTCGTTTCATCTATGCTTAATGTTGGGGTCAAAATCGGTAATGACCATCAAATCCCCATCAAAGTTCATGGTGCCCTCCTTACCACCATTTTCGAGGGTCATTGCATGTTGACGACCAGATTTGGTGGGAATGATTTGTACTATTTGAAATGACTAAAGGCAATGGGGTCTATGGAGAAGGTCAATGTGAAGGAAAAGGCTATAAGTTATCTCTAGGTTTAAGCAGAAAAACATAGTAAAGGAAAAACTGTTAAAAATCTTATATAAAAAACGGAGCTATGATAAAAGTGAACTAATTTGAAGAGTGCACCAAGGAGGAGCTGCCTTATCCCAATTATAAGAAATGGGTTTTGAGTTCTCAGACACTTTCTAATTCGGCGAGGTAGTGAGCAGCACAACTTTCCCTCGTACACCGTCTTCCCATTATTTCCTATGTGAAAGTGGCAGGTCTCAAGGTCTGGCCGATTGGGCCGGGAAAACCTAGGATACTTATGATTCCCATTTGTGGCTATTTTATCAACTTCTTACAACCCTTTTCTACCCTCGGTGGTCGAAAATCTAAGCTACTTCTGTGAAAACATATCTTGGTCAACGGGCCGATTTGATGTAGTCTCCTTTTTTTGTTTCTTTGACTTTTGAGGGTCGTGTCGCTTCATCTTCATCAAAATTGTAGTTCAACGAGATTCTCTTTCTTGTTTAGCCATGAACTTTGTCCCAAAATAGAAAAACAATATCCTAGTATGGCAGGATTTGACAACTCTCTGTAGGAAAAGATATGTATCTCCCTCAGTTTTGAAATTACCCCCAGAGTTGACCGATGCCTGTTGACTTAATCGGAGGCTACTCAGTCTTTTTAAATGGTGAATTCTCCTCCGATGTGTCTTCCTCAGACCTTTTCATCGTTTTCGTCAGCGGGACTTCCAAACCAGGATTATACCTTTCTTCCTTCCCCATCAAGCACAACTTCCCTTAAGCAATCATGCCATGTCAACCAAGAGAAAATGTTAATCAATGAGATATCCATACCTTGTCGTGTACCACTAGAGGTAGTTCCTCTCGAAGTATCTCGGTTCAGGGCAGGAAATAAAAGGCAAGGTGGGGTATTACTATTTGTGAGGAACGGGGGTTGGTGTTCTTCAACGTCTCGACTTGTAGTGATGAAAACCCCATGGATAGAACCATGGAATTTTCTTTTTGGTAAATAACGTAGAAGATTGAAAATATTCATAAACAACACCATGATAACATAAACCGATTTGAATTGATGACTCGAAACGACCAATGTGAACAAAAGACCTTGTGAAAGAATCTAGTGAGAAGAAAAATAATTTTCTCTCTCTAGAAACCATTTTTTTGCAGGGAAACTCTCTCTAATTATTAACCAGTAATAGAGCTACGTAGGAGTTTGGGGGCCATTGTCCCATAATTTTTTATCATTAAAGAATATAGTAACAATTACTTATTCAAGTATTAAAATTTTAATTTATTTTGATTTTGTCTCTTATTTTCTATTATTAATTATATTTTATCATCTTAAACTAAAATTGCTATGTCCCTATATCTAACTATTTTTATTTTAAAATTATATATTGCGTAGCATTTTGGTTACTCATTGTTAAAAAATAATGTCATGTTATCATTGATTTTTTTGAAAAACATCATATCAATAATTCTGTTAATTTTTAATATTGGATGATTAAAATAAAATAAAAATCTAACGCTAAATATAATTTTAAAAAAATATAATTTAGTAATCAAAATAAAATAAGTGACAATTAGAGTACTGATGGGTAGTTTACACCCTATATGTAATTAATCACGTACAGCAAGGTTCAGATGCAAGTTAAACCCACACTCCTTGCTGATCTTCCGATTCCCATAATTACACGTGTAAGGTAGTGGTCGAATAATAAAATAACACCAGGTACATTACATCGGCAGATTCACAGAAAGAGCTCGCGAACTTCTCTATAAATAAACCCTTCCCTCACTCGATTCGACCCAAAACTTTTTCGAGTCTGAGCAAAGGAACAGTCCCCTAACCCGGAGCCATGGCCAAGCTTCGTAGACCTAAGCCCGAAGACCCTAAGCCAGCTCACTCCGGCGCCGTTGTCCGCCACCAAAGCTTTGCCTCTCCATTGACACGAACCTTCGTCGTCTATGGGTAATTCTATATCTTTTCACTTCTCCTTTCTTTGCAATTTGTTACGTAGGTCCGCTAATTTTTGTTTAGTTAAAAGAGACGTCATTCTGCGCTTTTCAGTTACACCGAGCTTGAAAGAGGTACCGATATCGGCATCGTTGGATTACACGCGGAGAATTTAGGGATTGAGAGTGTGCTCGTAGATGGGGAATCGACGGATTTCGAGTATTATCCTCATAATCTGGGCGTCGATAGTGAAAAACGGTGGGCCTCAGCTGTGTCTTCTCCGAGTTCAGCTGCAGATGTTGCTGCTGCTGCTTACGTTACGGCACTGGAGACAGAAATGGTTCCTAACTTGCTTATCAATTGTTGCAATAGGATGCAAGTTGAGCAAATTAATACGGAGTCTAATGGAGCACAAACAGCTGCTTATGCCAAGCAGGTTAGTGCAGCTGCTTTTAGTGAACATATGCTTTTAACGATATATATTTTTGGTTATGCATTGGTTTGATTTCTCGAAATATGGAACCAAAATAATAGAAGCGTCAAGAATGTTTCTTTCACGACTAGTTTTCCAGAAACAATCATTTTCTAAAACGAAAATGGTTAAAGGGATTTACGACTTAACTTGTAGCATCGTTTTTAATATAAATCTAGTATATTGTAGTATATAATATGCATTTTCTTCTCATGAGAGCATGTAAAAGTTATGTCTAGAATTGTCAGTTATTCCAATAACCTCCCTCCCTTCTGACTTGTTTTCCTTTTATGCAAATTGCAAGTAGCAAAAGTAGCAACTAAATGATATCTAAAAACCTTTTTCTTTGTGAACGAAAGAAATGAGGGAAGTTTTTGGATGATACATTCTTTGTGCACTGTTTGATTGATGAGGTTTATGAGTATTTCGGTCTCTCATGTAGGTTGGTATTGAGTGCAGAATGTGAAATCTGTTCGTGTTAACTATTGGGTAGAGAAAATGGAGTCAGGGATTCACTTTAAGGATAATATAGTACACACTGATAATCAAATAAGGCGTGCTCGGTGTTGGTTTCCTTGTATTGATGACAATAATCAGCGATGCTGGTATGAAACTATATTCTCTAGTAATTTGGCTACTTTGGGCATTTTACAGTCTATGTATTTTGTTTCAGCTTTGATCTGGAGTTTACGGTAGCCCACAATCTTGTAGCTGTCAGCAATGGGAGCTTACTATATCAGGTGAGACCAATGCGATGGAAAAATATTGCCTTCTAGGTTTTAACTTTGCCAAAAGATGTGTGACACATTATTTGTTTGAATGGTGACTTCTCTACCAATTTTCATGGAAGCATAAGAAAAGTACAACATGAATTGCTAAGTTGGACATAGATATTTTTATGAGTGATCATAAACTCTCAACCTGAACTTAATGGAAGAGGTGTTTGAAATTTCATAGGGATTAATATTTCCAATTAAAATTCTAAAATATCATAAAAATTGAGAGCACAAGAGATATGTAATTAAAATAAGTTTCTTGATAATAAGCTTTATCTCAACTTAAACTAGCCTTGTATATTAGGAAGCAACATGCTTAGATTGCACTCAACCTCGAGAAATATGGGTAGTATCAAGTGAGACAATTGATAAGCAAATTTTCTTTATTTTATCTTTTACTTTTACATGGGAAATAAAATGCTCTCATCACTTTTTAGTCTTTTTCTTTAGAATAGTCTAATATTTTCTTCCTTGTAGGCTCATTGAATCTTATCCACGTTGGATAACTAATCCAATTAATTCTTCTAGTAAAGGATTGGAGGCGATAATAGACATCAATTGAAATAGTAAGTTATTAACCAAGTAGAAGCATTTCTGGAGAAGATCATGGCTTTAGAGAAAAGTTTGAATGGGGCTAATTAAGGTGATGTTGGTAGAGGTTTTCAGTTTTCAGTTTGCATTTTTCTCTTTTATGATGAAGTCAAAGTTAGTAATTGTTCATGGAATGTTAGGGGTTAAGGGAAAAAAGAAAAAAAGAGGGTTGTTCAGAATTTAGTTTCTAGTACATATCCCACTTTTCTTTGGCTGCAAGAAACCAAGTCAGAGAAAATCCATAGGCCTTTTTTCAGAAGAAGTGGGATCAATAATCTAAAGGGTGTTTTAGAATCTCCTTCGATTGGATTTTCAGGGGGTTTATGTGTTGTTGGGACGACAATATTTTTGAGATAGAAAAACAGTATGTTTGCAGGAGATTTATAGCAATTTTTGGTAAATTTCGGGATAATAATTATAGTTGTGGTTTCATCAATGTTTATGGTCCATCATGGAGCAGGATAAACCTAGTTTCTTTGAAGAATTAAGCATGTTCCTTAGGGGGGGAAATTATCCTCTTTGTGTGGGATGGGATTTTAATGTTTATTTACAATAAGATGAGAAGGTGGGCAGAGGTCAAAATAGAAGTTCTATGGAGATATTTAGTCAGTTTATCCTTCAAACTGGTCTAATTGATCTTCCTATGAATGGGTAGATTTACTTGGTGCAACAACCAAGATAATCCCACTTTTGTAAGATTGGATCGGTCTTTGATCGACAGTCAGTTCTTGGTTTCGTTTCCGGATATTGTTCAGTCACTACTCCTTAGGTCTGTGTCGGATCATAATGCTATAGTCCTTGTGAATAAAGGTGTTGAGTGGGGTCAAAAACCGTTCAAACTTTTCAACTATTTGATGGAGGAGGAGGGTTTTGAGGATCTGGTTAAATCATCAATTCAGAACTGCAAGAAAGCTCATAAAAAGGCTGGTGTGTTCAGTTTACTAAGAAGTACAAAACATGCAATTAAAAAGTGGGCTGGGAAGAGAGGTCAGTATCCAATAGCCATGATTTCTGATTTAGAGAAGAAAATCCAGCAGATAGAGGTTGATATTCAGCAACAGCAAGGTGTTATTGACAGTGGAGTTTTAGCAGAATTGAAATCTCATAGCAGAATTGTGGAATCTTATAAAATTTAGGAGCAGATTTGGTTTCAGTATTCTAGATCGAAATAGATAGAAGATGGGGATCGCAATACTAAATTTTTTCAGATGTGTGCTACAGTTAAAAAAAAGAGGAATGCTCTGGTTTTTCTTAAATTTAGGAGTGATTCAGTTGAGGACCTGACAGCTATTAAGGCCATAGTAAAAGATTTTTTCTTTAAGAATTACAATGAGCGATCTACATTAGAAATTGATGATATAAGGCTGGATTTCTCCAGAATTACTGTGGAGCAGAGTCAGATTTTAGAAAAGGAATTTTCTGAGGAGGAAGTTTGGGAAACTTTGAAGTCATGTGACAGAAACAAGGCTCTGGGGCCTGATGGTTTAAATCTGGGATTTTCAAGCGGTTTTGGCAGGTCCTTAAGGAAGATATTATGAAATTCTTTCATAATTTCTACTTGGGGAAGGAATGGGAATGAGGAATAAACCATACTTTTATCACTCTCATCCAAAGAACTCTAACACTGGGGGCCTAGATGATTTTGGCTATACAAGATCTTGTCTAAGTGTCTATCGAGGAGACTTAGGGGTTGTATATTAGATTTAATCAGCCTTTTCAATTCACTTTTATCCCTGGTCGACAATTTGGATTGCTTGTTAATAGCTAATGAAGGGATCGATTTTTGGAGGAAGAATGGATTAAAGGGTTGTGTTTTCAAAGTTGACTTCAAGAAGGCTTATGATACAATCGATTGGCCTATTTTGTTCAAAGTAATGAGGAAAATAGGTTTTGGTAATACATGGAGAGGTTGGATTTCGAAATGCATCACAACAACTACTGTTTCAGTATTGGTAAATGGGGTTTCGACTGAGGAATTCCCAATGGCTAAGGGTCTTCGCCAAGGTTGTTCCTTGTCTCATTTACTATTTAATATAATGGGAGAACTTCTGAATTTATTGATTCTTAAGGCAGTTTCAAAGGGGCTATTTTCAGGTCTGGTCATTAGCAGGGAGGAGGGGAATTTTAATTTAACTCATCTTCAATTTGCTCATGATCTCATTATATTCTGTGGTGCATCGAAAAAACAGATTTTGAATGTGAAGAGGGTGCTCCGAGTATTTGAAATTATGTCTAGTCTTCAGTTAAATTTGAATAAGTGCAAATTGTTTGGGATTAATTCGAATGAAGAAGAAATTAAGGATTGGGCAGCTGCGATTGGTTGTTTAGTAGGCAACTTTCCTTCAGAGTATTTGGGACTTCCCCTTGGAGCACACAAAAATTCTAACCAATTGTGGGATCTAGTGGTACAGAGTTTTAATAAAAGGTTAGCTGGCTAAATCATCCACTCTTTCACTGGCAGGGAGGTGGTTTAATTAAATCAGTCATATGTTCTCTCCCTACATATTTTTTGTCTTTGTTCAAGGTCTCAGTTTCGGTCTACAAGTCCCTTAATTCAATTATGTCCAATTTCTTATGGGGAGGAGGAAATGGGAAAAATAAGATTCATTGGGTGAGCTGGTCAGATGTATGTAAACCAAAGATTGAAGGAGGATTGGGGATTCCTAATTTAAGTGTGGTAAATAGAGCCTTATTGGAGAAATGAGCTTGGAGGTTTGCTACTGAGAGGAAGGCGGTTTGGAGGGAAATGATTTGTACTAAATACAAAATTGACTCATCTTTAATGCAGTTTGACATTAATGTTTCCCTTAAGTTCTCTTGGATTTGGAGAGCTATAGTGAGTAATCATTATAAAGCAGATTCTGTTGGCTGTAAAATCAAGAGTAAATACAATTATAATATTGGTAATGGGAGAATTATTCGATTTTGGCAAAACGTTTGGGCTATGGATAATCCTTTAATGGTCATTTTCCCTAGACTGTTCGATATTGCAGTAAATAAAACTGGTAAATTATTCCAGTTTGGGGAATTTAGCTCGTGGGGCTGGTTTTGGAATGTTCAATTGAGAAGGAATTTGAATTACTGGGAATATGAGCAATGGACAAATTAATGGCAGTCATTTGGTCTTCTCTATTTCTGGTGATTCTGCTGATGGGCTGATTTGGAAGGGCTCTGGAGATGGGGTTTTCTCTGTTAAATCTTGTGTTAATTTATGTTATTCGGGGAGTTCAGTTCGGAAGAAGCTAATTTTTGGAAGACTGTTGTTTGGAGGGGCCTGTTGCCTCCAAGAGTAGAGACTTTTCTATGGCAAGTGATTTTGCAGAAACTGCCAGTGAAGACAGCTTTGGTTAAACGAGGAGTAAAGGGCATAGATGATCTGTTATGTCCTTTATGTAAGTTAATGGAAGAGTCCCCCTCCCATTTATTATTTTGTCGGTTGTTTGGTTAATATGGAACAAGTTCATGTGCTACTGGAATATCCAGTCTGTTTTCAAGTGGATGCTAAAAGTTTTTTTCTAGCTTGGGTAGAATTGAGGTCTAACTCTCTCATATGGTCTTTTATTCCTGGAGTGGTTCTATGGACAATATGGAAAACTAGGAATTCTATTGTGTTTGAAGGAGGGAAGCTAGATCATGCTGAAATTTTCTTTTTAGCAATGTTTAGGCTTGCTTTATGGTTTTTAGCAAAAAATTCTCAGATTTCTATCTCTAAGGATTGTTATTGCTGATCCTTCCTTAGGGGATTCTTGCTTACCATATTCTAATCGGATTTTATCAAAGTTTCCGTGGTCCCCTCCTCCCAAGGGCTATTAAACTTAATGTGGATGCTGCTACTAGTAGTGATTGGAAGAGGAGTGGTTTAGGTGGTGTTCTTAAAGACGTATCTGGTTCGATATTAGTATCTTTCAATGAGCCTGCTGGTCCAGGGCCTCCTACATGATGAATTGAAAGCTATCCTAAAGGGTCTGGTTTTCTATGAATCTATTCGACAGAGATATAAGGAACGTTTGATTATCGAGAGTGATAGTAGGGTGGTTGTCGACTGGGTTAAGGACGCTGTTCTATGTCCTGATGTTTATGTTCATATTGTTAAAGATATTATTCAAAAACTCAGAGATTGTGAAGGCGTTATTAGATGGGTTAATAGGACTGCCAACTTAGAGGCAGATGCCTTAGCTAAGCTGGTATGGTTAATCCTCGTGTTATTTTTAAAAGGATGTTTCCTTTTGGTTTTTTTATCTCCTTAAGGGAGTTAGGTGATGTATTTCTATGTTGATATTGTTGTTAATGAAATCCTAGGGCACTCTTTTCCTCCTTCCGTTGATTAAGGAACTATTTTTTAAGTTCTTTAAATCATAAAGGGGTTTTTTTAA